GGGTAGAATATTGGGAAGTACATTTGTTATTAACGTGTTAATACCAAGTTCAACAGTTCATAGGACAAAAAGGTTGTTTCCATTCTTTCACAGCAGAAACCGCAACGCTTTTTTCTCCGCCCCTGCGATCATTTGTTGTAGTGGCACGAGAAACACAAGAACTTGCACTTCAAGAGACTTGCCAAGATATTAGCACCAAACAGAGAAATTGTTGGATTGGATTATTAATTATAGTCCAGACGATCTATTGGCGTATTCTTGAACCAATGCTCCAAAGAACGACGGCCTTTCAATCAAGCGCGACGGTTTGTCAAACTCTTTAGCGCGTCCTATAATCAAATCAGGAAAAAAAAAATCATAAAAATGCCTTAAAAGAACACACGAGATTAAAATGGCTAGAAAGCAAACAACAATTAGTACTAACCTGCATCTACCACTAACACTCTGTCGCAGTCCATGACCGTGGGAATTCTGTGAGCAATGCTGATGATGGTGCAAGAAGCGAAATCTTCCCGGATGATCTTTTGAATTACGGCGTCAGTTTGTGAGTCGACCGAGGCAGTGGCTTCGTCCATGAACAATAGCCGGCTGCGCTTTAGCATCACTCGTCCTAGACACAGGAGCTGCCTTTGTCCCACGCTCCAGTTGTCTCCGTCGTCAGCCACTGATTAAGTGATAGCAAAATTGTGAGGAAGAATACTTTGGTTTGAGGAAATGGTACTAAAAAATTTTTAAAAATGAAGTGAGAATTAGTACCTTTAGCATCGAGTTTCTCTGATTTTGAAGCTACCACATCCTTGAGCTGGCACCGGTCGAGACTCTACAGAAACATTAACGAGGTTAATGCAAACATTAATGACAAGAAATATCGTAAAAAGAAGATGAATTCCTACTAAAATTCGATTTGGGTCAGCCGGATTTGCGCAAGGAAAAAGAAAATCGGCTTTTCGTGGTTGTTGTGGCAACAGATGAACAAAATAAATCAAAATCTAATGGAAATGAACTAGCATCCTAAAAAATGATGGTCCTTTCTTTTCACATTTTGAATTAGAAAATTTAAGTTAAAATGTGAATTTATATGAAATAAAATGCAGTAATAAAAAAATTAAATTTAAAATGTTATAAAAAAAGATAATATAA